TGTGTGTATCCGGGGCGTGGGGAGCTGCGACTGGATGGTTGCTATCCCAGGGTTTTTTAGGTCTGGAGCCTGATCCAATAGGCATGGATGTAATTTATGGAGAGCAGCAAAGGGCAGGCCGTCGTGTGGGCAGCCGGATGCATTTTGCATGCAGGCTGATTCTGAAGCACGCTCCGAAGCACGCTTATAGGACTGATTGTAGTGAACTTGTTTGCTTGCTTGCATATATGTACGTATGTATGTGCTTTCTTTCTTTCTTTTTTTTGGGGGGATTTGATTTATATGCCACCCTTCTCCGGAGACTCAGGGTGGCTTACAATGCATTAAGCAATTTCTAGGGGTCTTCTCTTTTAAGGGGTGCTAGCTTTGGGATTTATAGGATTGCGGGTTGATCTGCTCCCTGCCACCTCCTCCTCCTCCCTTCCTTTGGAATAGTGCTGTGCTGGGGCGCTTTGTGCTGTCAGGCCTCCCACCTATATCTGCTTTGAGGCAAAAAGAAAGTCTTTGCCCACATCCTCCTGGGCCCTAGTCTTGGCGCTGATTCGAGCGCATCTTCTGCAGACCGCTAAGAAGCCAAGGGGTGTTGGCGCCAAGGCAGCCCACACCTCCCGCTGTTTTGAGCTCAGAGCTGTAAGCCACATCCTTTTCTAGCTGTAGTTGACTCATGACCACCGTTGGCTGGGACAGGCGGGGAGAAAGGTGAGGGGGCAGCACGGTCGAGGGCGCAGGAGCCGGGCATGGGCAGGCAGATTAGAGGATGCTGGCAAATTTCTGGCTTGCTCGCTCAGCTGTTCATCGCCCAGAGCACGCAGGGACCTAACAAAACCTGGGTCATGGCCGCTGCTGCCACCTCCTACCTGCGCACATTGAGGAGGCAGAGCAGCAGGAGGGTGAGCACGGACCTCCTGTGATGCGCTCATGCGAAGATGCGAGCGAGGAGGCTGTGTGTTACATATAAAAGTAAATGTGTTACTTTTTGGGGCACTGCAGGAGTGCCCCGCCTCCCCGCCAGTCAGCTAGTCTTCAGCACGTGGCTCAGCAGTCTCCAAACATCAGATTCCCACCACCCATACAAGTTCAAGGGTTCTTCTCCCTCCCAAGGGACACACACAGAGAGAGAGAGAGAGAGGGAAAGAGAGAGAGAGAGATGAGAGAGGGGGGAGGGAGAGAAGGGAGAAAGAGAGGGAGAGGAGAGAAAAAGAGGGAGGGTGGGGGAGAGGGAAAGAGAGAAAGAGGCAGAGAGAGGAAAGAGAAAGAGAGGGAGAGAGGACAGAGAGAGAGAGAGAAAGGGAGGGAGGGAGAGGAGAGAGAAGAGAGAGAGAGAGCAGAGAGAGAAAGAGGGAGGGAGAGAGGAGAGAGAGGGAGAGGGAGGGAGGGACAGAGAGAGATGTTGTTTGTAACCTCCTTGGGGCTGAGAAGAATTGCTGCAAAATTGAGTTTTCTGAAGTGGACCACTAGACTCGTAAACAACTTTAAAAATGATCTAGTAAAAAGAAAAGTCAAACAAAAGCAAATAAAACACCCCCAGGAGCAAGAAAAATTAAAGTTTAATTTGTGTCTATTATTTAATGGACTGCTAAATTGGCAAAATGGACTGCTGAATTGGCCACGCCCACCTAGCCACACCTACCCAGTCACATGACCACCTAGCCATACCCACCAAGCCACTCCGGCCCCACAACAGTCTGAGGGACTATGAAGTGGCCCCCTGTTCAAAAAGTTTGAGGACCCCTGCATTAAGAGAAAAACATTCGCCCTGAAAGAGGCGGTGGTAAGGCCTCTCCTCAAGAAGCCTTCCCTGGACCCGGCAGTATTGGCTAATTATAGTCCAGTCTCCAACCTTTGCTTCGTTGCGAAGGTTGTTGAGAGTGTGGTTGCGCGACAGCTACCCCAGTACCTGGATGAAGCGTCGTATCTAGATCCGTTCCAGTCGGGCTTCAGGCCTGGGTACAGCACGGAAACGGCATTGGTCGCGTTGGTTGATGATCTCTGGAGGGCTCGGGACAGGGGTTGTTCCTCTATCCTGGTCCTGTTAGACCTCTCAGTGGCTTTTGATACCATCGACCATGGTATCATGCTGCACCGGCTGGAAGGGTTGGGGATGGGAGGCACCGTTTTACGGTGGTTCTCCTCCTTTCTCTCTGACCGGTCGCAGTCTGTGTTGACAGGGGGGTAGAGATTGACCCCGAGGCCCCTTATATGTGGGGTGCTGCAGGGATCGGTTCTCTCGCCCCTTCTGTTCAACATTTATGTAAAGCCGCTGGGCGAGATCATCCGTGGTTTCGGGGTGAAGTACCATCTGTACGCTGACGACACCCAGCTGTACATCTCCACCCCGGACCACCCCAACGATGCCCTTGAAGTGATGTCCCAGTGCCTGGAGGCCGTACGGATCTGGATGGGGAGAAACGGGCTCAGGCTCAACCCATCCAAGACCGAGTGGCTGTGGTTTCCGACGTCCCGATATAGTCAGCTGGCGCCATCGCTGGCTATTGGGGGCGAATCATTGGCCCCCACGGAAAGGGCTCGTAACTTGGGCGTCCTCCTGGACTCACGGCTGTCTTTAGAAGAGCACTTGACGGCCGTGACTGGGAGGATTTTTCATCAGGTTCGCCTGATTCGCCAGTTGCGTCCCTTTCTAGATCGGGACTCATTACGCACAGTCACTCATGCCCTCGTCACCTCTCGTCTGGACTATTGTAATGCTCTCTACATGGGGCTCCCCTTGAGGTGCACCCGGAGGCTCAACTGGCGCAGAGTGCGGCCGCGCGGGTGGTTATGGGAGCAACATGGAGCTCCCATGTAACACCTCTCCTGCGCGAGCTGCACTGGCTCCCGGTGGTCTTCTGGGTGCGCTTCAAGGTTCTAGTTACCACCTTTAAAGCGCTCCATGGCTTAGGACCTGGTTACTTACGGGACCGCCTACTACCATCAACAGCCTCCCACCGACCAGTATGCTCCCACAGAGAGGGGCTCCTCCAGGTGCCGTCGGCCAAACAATGTCGGCTGTCGGCCCCTAGGGGGAGAGCCTTCTCTGTGGGGGCACCGACGATCTGGAATGAGCTCCCCCCAGAGATATGGAGGATTCCGGATCTGCGCACCTTCCGCCGCGAGTTGAAGACGCTTTTATTTCATCAAGCTGGCCTCGCCTAAATCTTCTCCCTTTTAAGTGTAAATTTTAAATGTATTTTAAAATTATGGGTATTTTAAATTATGGGTATTAATTCAGCCGAATTTATTTAATTCATTTTATTCGATTTTAAATTTTGTATATCTATGTGTTTTATTTCATGGCTGTGCACCGCCCTGAGTCCTTCGGGAGTAGGGCGGTATAGAAATTCAATAAAATAAAATAAATAAATAAAATAATTCAGCACAATCAAGCTCAGTTGGAAAATGAAAGATCCAGTTGCAAAGATTGTGATACTGAAACAAGAACTATTTTCAGATCAGACTGTTGTTTGTGACTTCCTGTTTCATTCCTTAGTGCACTTATCTCCCATTTGTATCACTCCCACACTTTCCTTCTTTCTTTTTTAACTTCCCCTCTACTGAGTGTTATGAAAGAAAAATGCTATAGCTGTGTAATCATAATGATAAGATCACTTATCCTCTTAATGATAAGTGTCACTCATATGGAAACCTCAATTGATCCTGTCATTAATGGACTGCATAAAAACAAGCGTAAGATAAGGTTGGCTGAACCCAAAAGAACAGATGATGAACTAAGAAACAGAAGCTGAATGTAAGGCAGATGCAAAATAAAGAACTGTAATAAAGAAGAAAATGACATGAGAAAGAACAGGTTAAGTTGTGGTAGAATGAAGAAACCAGATGGACAAAGAGGGATAAGCCAAGCAAGTGGGGATAAGAGAAAGGAATGGGGCTTAAAAGCAGGGAAAAGGATAGGTTTTGGAGTCATATAACAAAAAGTATTGATAAAGAGTAATTGAATCTAGGAGGAGGAGAAAACCATATGAAAAGGAATTAATTCAGGAAACCAAGGGATGATGAGCCAATATGATTCTTTTGTCTTTAAAGAACTGTGTGAAAATAAACATTTTTCCTGGTTCCCATCACAAGAAGAAAGTGGGATATACCGTATTTTTCAGAGTATAAGACACACTCCCCCCCCCCAAAAATGTGGGTGGAAATGTCTCTGCATTTTATACACCGAATATTGCCAAAGCCCCATCCACCCACCAGCCCCCACCCTTTGGCCATTTTCGGCCTCTGCGTGTCACGTTTTCGGCCTCTGCACGTTCTGTTTTAGACCCGTTCCAGGCTGCGGGGATTGCCACAGCACATTGCCGCTAATCGCTGCCGCCTGGAACCGGCCGAAAATACAATGCACAGAGGCCAAAAACAGGGTGTGTGGAGGCACCAATGTGCTGTGGTGATCTCTGCAACTTGAAACAGCTGATTGGTGTATTCTGGGAGGCTGATCCAACAGCCAATCAGCTGCTTGTGCCGAATCAGGCTGTGATAATATGCTGAAGCTGACCAGGCTGTTTGCTGCAAGGACACTAGCCAGATGAATACCGATGGATAAGGATAAGGATAAGGATAATTTTATTTCTATACCGCCCCTCTCCCGAAGGACTCAGGGCGGTGTACAGCCAGGTAAAAACACAATACAAATATCACAATTTAAATTTAAAAAATTATTAAAAGTATTACATTTAAGGTCAATTAACTAAAAAACCCAAAAATTTAAGAATTCCAAATTTAAAACTCAATTTATGAAGCTAGCCCTGCCTGTCGGAAGAGCAGGGTCTTAAGAGCACAGCGGAAAACTCGGAGGTCAGAGATCCTGCGTATGTCTGGGGGCAATTCATTCCAAAGGATGCTGGTAGGCAGAGGCAGAATTTTTTTTTATTGTTTTCTTCCCCAAAAACTAATGTACGTCTTATACTCTGGAGCGTCTTATACTCCGAAAAATATGGTACATTAATCTGAATCTTCCCAACACTGCTTTGCCAACAGGGTTCTAATCTTACCTCAGATGTTTCAAAGGATTGTATTTCTCTTGGCAATTCTACCGCATGCCTGTTGAAGTAATCCATGGTGATCGCATTGTTCCAATAACTCAGGTTATTTTCTGGATTTGATGTCTTCTTTTTTCGTCGCATACAGCACACAGTTAATAGCACAGCTGTAAATACAAACATGTTGGGTTTCTGTTGTGAATCAATGGTTGGTATGAAACATAGAGTCTTCTATTTTATCATTATTTCCAACCTCATCCCTAATAACATGATACATACTACAGCAACCTGATGATGAGATGCATTACCTCTGGAGGCTTCCATTTTATCTTGTATTAAGTAATTATTTACTGATTTAGTGATGGTTTTATTATAAAACTAGACAACCCATGACCCATTGGGTCATCCTTCCAGTTATTTTCTTACATAAAAAGAGAATATTTAAAATAAATTATTCATATTATAATAGCATTTATATTATATCAGCTCCTTCTTTCCATATGTAATAGCTGGTGCTGTTTCCTTTCTTCTCATAACCCTCAGCAGAGTCCCAGTTAAGCAGCCTCCTCCTCTTCTGTAGGAAGGAGGAAATGAGCTGTGGATCATGAGGAAAACTACACCCTGTCCCCATCCCATCTGAAAATATCTCAAAGGGCCCCCTACCTCCAGGGAAATAGCTACTGTGTTCTCCACCCCACCCCACCCCGAACAGCCAGCCCAGTGACATGAGCAAACATATTTCCTTGTCTTTCTCTCACTGTCCATTGCTGTTAAGATATTCCAAATTTTGCCTCAGTTTCAAATAAGCCAGTTGCCAGCCAGTTGGGCACAGGAGTCAGAGGGAGCTGGGGAAAAAAGCAGGGACATACCCCTTCAATGCGCCCTTGTGCTGTGCTATCTACAGGTTTCTGAAAATGTAGTTGGAAATCACGGTCGTATGTGAAGATTTTTGAAATTTCAATTGCACAGAAGTAATAGGGTCCAGATTTTGCATACTTTCTTTACATTAGCAGATTTGAGGTACCTTGATTCAGAATTTTTTGTGCTTTGATACATTATTTAGTTGATTGAAGATTATAAATAGACAAACAAACAGTATTTTAGCAGTATATACCATATTTTTTGGACTATAAGATGCACTTCCCTTCCCCCCAAAAAAGTGGGTGGAAATGTCTGTGTGTCTTATACAGAGAATGTTGCCGAAGCCCCACCCATCCACCAGCCCCCACTATTTGGCCTCAGCCTCCCAGCAATTTGCTTCCTTGCAGGAAACAGCAAACTGCCCGGTCAGCTTCAGAACAGCCTGATTTAGCATGAGCAAATGATTGGCGGTTGGATCTGCCTCCACCCATTGCTGCCACCGCCACCTATCACTGCCTCCGCATGCCCCATATTTGGCCTCCACGCATCCCATTTTCAGCCCGTTCCAGGTGGCGGGGAAAGGCGACAGTGGCAATCTCCACTGCCTGAAACGGGCTGAAAACAGGACACCTGAAGGCCAAAAATGGGACATGTGCAGGCCGAAATTGGGGCCCACGGTGCCAGTGATGGATGGCAGCGGCAATGGGCAGCGATGGCACCGATGGGCAGCAGCAATCCCTGCAGCCTGGAACAGCTGATCGGTAGTATTCCAGGAGGCTGATCCAACCGCCAATCAACTGCTCGTGCTAAATCAGGCTATGCTGAAGCTGACCAAGCTGTATGCTGTTTGCTGCAAGGAAGGAAACTGCTGGGAGGCAGAGGTGGAGGCAAATTGTTTCCCCTTCTTTTCCTCCCCAAAAACTAGGTGTGTCTCATAGTCCAAAGCGTCTTATAGTTCAAAAAATACGGTACATAGAACCAATGTAAGCTCAATATTCAATATCTACATTTTAACGTAGATTTTTAGACCTATACATATCTTTTTTTTAAATTGTAATTTTATTATAACATATATATGACATTCACATAACATACAACATATATATATCTTATCTCTTTTAAACATTGTTTCTTCTTGGTCTTCTTTCTGTTATTTTATCTTTCCTCCCATATGTCATTTCTTTCTTCCCCCCCCCCTTTTTCCTTTCCCCCCCCCCCTTTGATTACAATATGTTTTTTAGTTTTAACAAGCTTAACTTTATACATTTCTCTACAATTATTATATACATATTTTAATTATATCCATAATTTTATACAATTCTATATTCTTGTTATATAAAAATTTTCTTTTTTATTTATACTGTTTGTTTTTGTCCATTTCTCTACATTTTTATTCCGCTCCATACATTCGTTATGTATATATTTTATAGTTCTAATTATTTCCCCTGGTAGTTATTATTCTTTATTTCTCGTCTTAAGCCACTTATATCATTTATTCCATATTCTATAATAATCTGTCTCTTCTTTTTCTTTAATTTCTTTTGTTAATTTATCCATCTCAGCACATTCTAAAATTTTATCTACCAATTCTTCCTCTGTTGGGGTTCTTTCCTGTTTCCAATTTTTTGCATATACTATTCGTGCTGCTGTTAATATATGTAGCATCAAATATTTTATTTCCTTGGTATATGGTCTTGTAAAAATTCCTAACTGGAATGTTCCTGGTTTTCTTTCTATTGGTTGATCTATTATTTGTTCTATCCACTTCTTAATATTTGCCCAAACTTTTTTTGCCGCCGGGCACGTCCACCATAGATGATAATATGTTCCTTGGGATTTCTTGTATTTCCAACATGTTGAGCTATTGTTCGGATACATCTTTGCAAGTCTTTTCGGTGGAAGATGCCATCTATAAAACATCTTCAACTGGTTTTCCTTGTATGCCGCCGATAATGTTACTTTTGCATTTACTTGCCACATTGTTTCCCATCTCTCCAGATCTATTGTATAATTAAAGTTTTGCGCCCATTTAATCATTGTGACCTTCACTATCTCTTCCTTCATTTTGTATTGTAATAGAAATTTATAAATTTTGCTAATTAGCTTCTCCTCTGATCCTAATATGATTTTGTCTAATTCGTGTTGCTCTTTGTGTTTCATATGTTTTTGTATCTTCCTTATATTTAGATTGGATTTGTGTGTACGTCCATCAATCAATTTCTCTGTTTAGGTCTAGTTCCAATTCTTGTTTTGATTTCAATTTTCCTTGTTGTTCTATTAAATCTTTATACCTTATTATTTTATTTAATTCTATTAAATTTGGGTGCCTTACTGCTTCTATTAATGAGAGCCAGATTGGTATTTTTGTATAGTGCTGCTTTTTAATTTTCAACCAAATTTGTAGTAGCGCATTCCTTATTATGTGTCTTTTAAAGTAACTGTGTGTTTTATATTTTCCATGCCAGAGGAATGCATGCCAACCCACTTGTATTTCATGCCCTGCAATTGTTAATATTCTATTGTCTTTTAGTTCCATCCATTCTTTTAGCCACGTTAAGCCAGCCGCTTGATAATATATTTCCCATTCTGGGAGTGCTGTTCCTCCTCTATCTTTTGTGTCCTGTAATAATTTAAGTTTAATTCGTGGTTGCTTCCCCTGCCATATAAATTTGGATGTTATTTTATTCAATGTTTCAAAAAACCTTTTTTCCAATTTTATTGGTATGACCTGGAATAAAAATAAAAGTTTTGGTAAAATATTCATTTTAATGGTGGAGATCCTTCCCAATAATGATATCTGTAAATTTCTCCAATTATCTAAATCTTTCTTTATCTGTGTTACTGATTTATCATAATTGACTTTTTTAATTGATGAACCTCTTGGTAATAACCAAATCCCTAGATATTTTATTTTCTTAAGTTATTTGAATTTGTATAATGTTTTCCAACTCTTTTTCCTGTTTCTTTGTAAGATTTTTTGTTATTAATTTTGATTTGTTTTTATTAATCTTTAGTCCTGTTACAGACGCGACGTTTCACTACCCGGCAACACGGAAGCGCTCCCGATTGGCTGAGACTTGACAGCTCAGCCGGCGGGACAATTAAAAGAGATGCCATTGGCTGCTGCATTTACCAGCCGGTATATAAATAGCGGCTGTGAGAGAAAGAGGTTTGAGTTGGTTCTGACATTTGCTGTTGCTGTTAATATTTTAATAAACCGTTCCTGTTAACCGTTGCCTCAGTCTCCCTGCCTGTTCTTTCAAAATAGAACATTGGCGACGAGGATGGGATACTCTCACTGAGCAACGGCATCGCGTATCCTGAACTCAGTTCCCACCGCGGAAGGTAGATATTTCCTGATTCTGAGGAAAAAAAAATTTTTCGTGACAGTTTTCTTCTCTCACGATGGCTAACCCGGCAACATTCGCTCCTTTCGTGCCGGCTTCAGAGACATGGGACACTTACATCGAGCGTTTTGAGTGCTTCCTACAAGCCAATGATTATACTGACTTTTCTAATGACAGGAAGCGAGCCCACTTCTTAAATGCTTGTGGGCCTCAAATCTTTGCTACGGCCAGGGCTCTAGTAGCTCCCCTCTCTGTGTCCACGGTTCCCTGGCCCACCTTGCTGGCGAAACTGAAGGGCCACTACGCACCCACCCCCTCTCGAATTGCCCGCCGGTTCCTGTTCCGTCAGAGATTGCAGAAGGAGGGGGAATCCCTTAACACATACCTCGCTGCCCTCCAGGAGGAAGCAATTAATTGTGAATTCGAGAACCTTGACGACTCCCTCCTCGAGCAATTGATCTGCGGGGTGCACGACTTGCGGCTGCAGCGCCGCCTCTTAGCCAAAACTGATATCACCTTACAGTCGGCTGTAGACGAAGCTTGTGCTTTTGAAATGTCGGACAGGTCGGCGGCAGAGATGCGTAGACTTCCAACTGCCCTACCAGCCACCCGCTGTGCCGCTATTCACATCGGGGATGCTTGCCCCGACAACCTTTCTGATGACGAAGACGAGGTGAACCGCCTTAAAGCAGCTGAGGGTAACAAGAGGCCACCGAATAAGAGACTGACTTCTGCGCCCTGCCTCGGCTGTGGGGAAGAGCATCCCCGCGCTTTTTGTCGTTTTAAAAATGCTGTCTGCCGACGCTGCGGGAAGAGAGGGCACCTGGCCAAGGTCTTAATTTCTTGGTCTTCCCTGACCTTTTTTAAAAGGATCTCCAATGTTAAGATATACAATAGTGGAGAGAGTGGACATTCCTGCCTAACCCCTTTTGTTATGGCAAATTGCTCTGTGATATCAT